CTCTCCAGCTATCACAGTCTGACGCAGTTGGTAAGGACAGAGAGGAGGCTGGGGTCACCATGTAGGCAATAGTAATATCCATTTGTGATAGAGGGCATTGAAGACTATGGGAGGAGCTGGCAAATTTATGAGCTGCTTGGGGCAGAACATAATGCTTGGAGACAGACATTGTGCGTGAGGAGGTGTCAATTTATGTGCCCTTGGCTGATCTTCTTAGAAGAGCACCCATATATGGGGGAGGGAATTTGGATTTGACTGTTTAGAACTTCACCTGTGGGTGGAGATGAAGACTAAATGGTAGTTCTTCAGGAACCATGTCTCTTTCTCAGTTCTCATGATGGGTCCTCTCTGGTGACTCTCAGGCACCTGTAAGCTGGCTAGCTTGTGTTGCTATATCCAAACAAGGCAGCACAACAGATTTTGGAGACACCCTTTGTATGTTAGGAGATGAAACCACTCGGGGAATGGCTTCATAATCGTTCCAAATACAGGGTGATGAGGCAGAGGAAGGAAACCTTAGTAAGGCTTGGGGCCTTTGGTGTTCTTGTGTTTATGTAGCTGAGAGGCCAAATCCTAGCAAGTTCTTACCTTAAGAGTCCACTTTTAGGAATTGCAGTCACTATATCTGGAGGGAAAGATGTGACTGATGGAAATTCCTAGGGGTAGTTATATGCAATTAGAATACCTTTGAGGGCATAGAAATGCAGCATATCTACCAAAAAGGTATAATTATAAGATTGCCTTGACTTCTGTATTATGTGGGTATATACAAGTGCACACAGTTCTGTTAAGTTTTATTCAGGGAGGGAGAAGTGACTGTGATATCACTGATAGAGATGTGTGAAATTAAGGTGTTTAAAAATTGTTTGAAAAATAATGACACACATCTGTTTTAAAGAAGCCACATGCTTTTTGTTCAAGCCTCTTTCAAGTTCTGTGCATGAGAAAAATTGCTGAGGCAGACCACAGCATCCTCAGGAAGGGGAGGGTACCTTCCTCTGGCAGGAATGAGTAGAAGGTTTTGGGAGCAGTCCCTCAAGGTCCAGGCTTGTAGCTGCTTCCATACCCTTATTTTCTTCAGCTCCTTGTGGGTCTTGTATTTCTTGGATGTAGGCAGTGATCTCTTTGCTCCGCCCTGCCAGCGTCCTGCCTTCCTGCAATAGCAGTTATGCAAAGTAAACATTACTGACTCTCTTTGGCTCCTTGCTGTGTCTTGTGCTGCCTGAACATGAAGCAGTGAGGTTATATGAGCTGGGACCATGATGCATGGCACACACCCAGCCCTAGCACCAGCCCTTCAGTCCTTACTGGAATGTGCATGCTTGGGTCTTGTTCACATAGCAGTGAAAGCTCTAGCAATACGCCTTTTGAGAGCTGTATGCCCAGAGTGATGATTTGCATCAAGATATCACTAATACTTTTGTGTTGAAACAGGCAAGAAGCAGTGATTTTTGAGTATTCTTACTTTATGGCTTCACCATTGTACCAAATACCACAGAGGGACTATCTTAACTGGAGGTGTGCAGTATGGAGTCCCCACATATTTCAGGGACCTCAGTCCAGAGGACTGATGAGTCACAAGTATGCCAAGTGCTTATCTCGTAGATCTCCCACACTTGTGGGGCAACCCCCAGGCTCTATCCAGTGACTGACACTTTATAACTCATCTGGGGCCATAGCTAATAAATAGGTAAGTTGTAACTTGAACCAGGATCCAAAACTGGTTGGAGTGGAAGCAAGAGTTTGGCATTGATCATTCTATAACAAGAGTCTCATGGGCAAGGGGAGAGGCGAAGTCTCCTTAAGTAACTGGAGATGCTGCGTCTCAACCACGCACAGGTGCGGAGCAAGCAAAACAACAGGTGCCTACTGTCGTTTCCCTGGAAGACTTCTCTACTTGGTCCACGGTAAGCTCCCTTCCAGGTTCCAGGCTCTGGAATTCTCATCCATTCAGCTGTCCTACCTGGCCCAGAGCCCTGTATTGACTCCATCACAGGCCATTACCTCATCTTCCACCAGGCCCAGATCTAGCCTCTCCATCTGCTGTGGGCCACCAGGTGAATCAGGTTACTTTCTGCCTGTGACCTGGCAAGGCAGCTCTTTTAGAAGGGCCCCCAGAGGCCCTGTTCGTCATGAGCTGATCCTTCATCCTTGCTGGCAGCTGCTGGCTGCCCAGACTTTCAGGGGCACCCTGGAAGCTTGTCCCAACTTAGTTTTGCGTTTCACTTGTCTCTCCTTTGTGGAGGTGTTGTGCTGTTGAGGAGGCCGAGGGCTGTCCGGCCAACGGTGAAGTGATCCTGCTCACACTGTTCGCTCAGGCCTTATTTTGTGAGTTCTCACTGAGCGCATGTTTGCAGTAAAATGTGGCTATGTACAGCCACACTCTCATTTGTTGTGCTTGTGCTTTAGGGGTTCTGGGGCCCCTCTCTTCCACTCTGAGATGACAGCCTTTCTTTTTCTTCTCTGGCTTGTCCAGAGTCTCAAGTTTCCTTCCTCCCCATGGTGTTCTGACTTTCATGCTTGCCAGGATGAACTGTGTTCTGAAGGAGACCCTCTTCTTCTGAGAGAAGCCTGGTTTCTTGCTGTCTTATTTGGATGGTTTATTAAGAAAGCATCTGTACAGGGAGGGGTTGGAAATTGGATCCTGTGTTATTTTCCACCCTGCATGTTTCCTATTGTGTTGGACAACCCATGCCCTCTGAGCTCCAGACTGAGGACAGCAGCATCCCTCAGCCCCCACCCCAAGCCTGGCAACCCTATACTAACAGCTCTGGCTTGGAAGGGACAGTAGAGGCTGGATTTGTAAGTTATGCCTCTTTGTCATTTGTTCAGCGAACTCCAAGCAGATTGCACTGCACATACCAGGAGAAGAGACAAACTAATACAATCAAACACTGAGAATCACCACCCTTAACCTTCAGGGAGAAATGGGAACTAAAGAAGGAAGAGCTGAGGGTCAAGGATACTTAAAAAAAACAATTGTTTTGAAATTGCCGCATAATTACCTTATTTTCCCTCCACTCCTGGCCTTCAAATCCCTCCTGTGTCTCTCCATTGCTTTCTCTCAAATTCACTCAAATTCAGGGCCTCTTTTTCTTTAGTTATTCACACACACACAGACACAGACACACAGATACACACACACAGACATAGACACACACACAGACACAGACACACACACAGACACAGATACACACACAGACACAGACACACACACAGGCACACAGATACACACACACAGACACACACACAGACACACACACAGACAGACACACAGATATACACACACAGACAGACACACAGATATACACACACAGACACACACACAGACACAGACACACAGATACACAGACACAGACACACACACACAGATACACACACAGATACACACACAGATACACACACAGATACACACACACAGATACACACACAGACACACAGACACACACATACACACACAGACACACAGACACAGACACACAGACACAGATACACAGACACACAGACACACACACACAGACACACACAGACACACACACACACACACACCCCTCTCTCCAAAAAGCTAAAAATAAGTCTACCATATGACCCAGTTATAATACTCCTTGGACATTTATTGAAGGACTCAACATACTTTACTTCACAGATAGTTTCTCAGCCATGTTCATTGCTGTTCTATTCTCAATAGCTAGGGAATGGAAACAACCTAAATGACCTTCAGTTGATGGAAGGGATGCTTCTATTTAGGGGGTCACATTGATCCTGGAAGCCAGAACCTTCCATCTTATTAAATCCAGGCCCTGTTACCAGTTATGCCTCCTATTACCCTCCGCTGGGAGTTTGAGCTTAATGCCATTTCCCCTTCGATGAGGGAGCCTGGATAGATGGTAATTTGGATGATTAGCCTAATTTGCAGGAAGGCTGCATGTGGAATTAAGTTAAGCAGGTCGAGCTGAGCGGCCTTGTCTGTCGGGCCACTTAACGGTTCCTTGGTGATTTCATGCCCTGAACAGAAGCTGAGGGCTCGGGAAGGATCATTGGCTTTTATTACTGTCTTAAAGGAAAGTTTAGTTTTTAAATTTGACAAGGCCCCCAGAGAGTTTTCATTATAGATACCATGTGTGGGGTTGGCTTCTTAAGAAAATCCCAATACAAAACATTGCCAGGGCTTCATTCCTCTGGTGACTATGGAAAACGGCTCTGATGGAAATTTGTCAAGCTGTTGACTAATGGGAATGGGTCAGAGAGGGTCTGAGAACTTGGCCCTTGTCTGTCTTTAGTTGGAAGAGGAAGCTAGGTGTGCTTATACCTGGAGACAGCAACACAGGCTCTTCCTGCTTTCCCTTTCGGAGCTATAGAGTGTGTTAGAGCCACACATGCGGGCAGCTGTACTGACCACGTGGAAGGTGGCAGCATAGCATGTACCTGTAGGCTCTGGGGACTGATGCTGCTTCTGATTCAGGCTTCCTCCTTGTTCTCCTTAAGTGGTGAGATTCCCATGTGTCAAATGGAGATGATAGGTCTCAGTGTGTTTGCAGGGAGCAAACATATGATTAAAAGTTGTGTGTGTGTGTGTGTGTATGTATGCATGTATGTATGTATGCACGCATGCATGTATGCATGCATGTATGTATGCATGTATGTATGCATGCATGTATGTATGCACACATGTATGTATGCACACCTCTACTGTGGTGCTGGGAATCAGACCCAGGGCCTTGGAATGCTAGGCTAGCACTTTACCACTGGATTGTATCTTTATCCCTTAGGATTTGAATTGTTAAAGCAATTGCAACAAAAATGTTAACTAGAGCAAATCAACACGTTATATAATGTGTTGTTATATAAAACGGTATTTATCATTTTGAGTTAACACTTCTTCTGTGAAATGGTCTCAGCAACAAACCTCGATAAGTATACACAGAAGTACTTAAAAAGGGCAACGACTAGGAAGGCCAATTCAATTTCAATAATTTCTATTTTTCTCTTTTTCTTGTTAGATTTGTCTTCAGCAAAGCGGAAGTTTGCAGATTCCTTAAATGAATTTAAATTTCAGTGTATAGGAGATGCAGAAACAGATGACGAGATGTGTATAGGTAAGTCATAACCTCATGGAAGACAGAAACATTTGCTGCTCTTTCCAGCAAGCCTTCTCCTGGCCTAGAAGGCCCAATAGTAAAGGTAAAAATCCAGTGGGTAGTGGCAGGCACAGATAGAAAGGCCAGGATGGCTTCTCCTGGCCTTGGCCTCACTCTCTGTCCAGGAGGAAACTGGAAGAAAGCAGGAAGATGCAGGAGGAAGTTGGGAGTTCTGTGATGGTGCTCTCATCCATTAATTTTTTCCCTTACCCAAACCACAGCACTAAGAACCTAAGACAAGAGTGAATGCAGATGATAAAGAGAATTGGATCAAGGTTCCACAGTGTTAGTTAATGGACTGAGATGAGAATAGCCTGATGTTTTACTTGATTTTTTTTTTTTTAGTTAATGGACTGAGATGAGAATAGCCTGATGTTTTACTTAATTTTTAAAAATTTTATTTTAAGCTGAATTGCCAGGTAAGTTGAACTTATCTCAACTTGTTTTTTTTTTCTTTTAAAATTTCACATATTTGATCTAGTGGCCTTCCATTTTGGCCTGGTAACAGCTGGCGGGAGCCATGTAGCTGCCACTGCTGGCAGAGAGGGAGCGGGGCTCAGTGGCTGTCCCTCTGACCCCACCTCTCTCTCCTTTAGCTTCCCTACTGAGAGGTGGAGGTGAGCTCCTGTATATTATTACCATGCTGCGCTGCTTCCCTCTTTCGTGCTGTGTTCCACAGGCAGCTCTGACCAGCCGAGACTCATCACCTTGCTAGGTTCTCATATTCTTATATCAGACATCTTGGTTGATGCTCCAAAGGGAGGAAGAACTAAGAATAGTTGGGACTAGGATTGCAGCCTGATGGTAGAGCATATACTTAGTGTATGTGAGGATCTGGGTTCAATTCCAAATACCAAAGAAATAAAGAACTGAGAAAGTTAAGGTTGTTTGGATGATTTTTGAATCTGTTGCCAAGCAGAACACCCGGATCTGGGTATGAGCTAAGACATCTGGGAAGTAACTGAGAACAATGAAAATGTGTCCTTGTTGTAAGCCATGATGCTTTTCCTGCATTGCCCAAGTAGCCTAAAGTCCCGGGGCTACTTCACCAAGTGTCCGTTGCCTTCATGAAAGATTCTGGCAGAGACCATCTGTGTTTGACGGCTGTGCTGTAGGCTGCATTCTACTGATGAGTGGCTTCAGAACTCAGGGAGATGCCAGAGATGTGCTTCTGTTGCCCGCAGAACTATTTGTTTAGTTGTCATGCCAAAGAGAAGGTTGGACTCTAATGCAGCTCAGCAAGGAAGACTGAGGTTGAGTCCTGGACAGGAAATCTTTTAGCTTCTTAGTGGGACTCTGCCCCTTCCAGCTCCAGGCTGGAAGCCTGCCAGCCCTCTCTAGTCCTGGGAATGCTCAGGAATAGGCAGGTCTTTTCCTTGGAGCAATCCTCTAGCTGGTGTTCCAGGAGCAATTAACCTGTTTTCTGGGTCATCCTGTCTTCAGTGGTTAATGATTAGAAGGTGAGGGAATCTGCGACAGCAGATGACTTTGAGCATCAGTGTGCATAAGGAATTTAAATCTGTACATTGCTTTTGACTCCCGTCATTCTTCTTTCAGTTCATGGCTTCTTTCTTTCTTCCAGCGAGATCTTTGCAAGAATTTGCCACTGTTCTCAGGAATCTTGAAGATGAGCGGAGTCGCATGGTGAGTATCTTCAGCTCCGCCTGGTCCCAGACAATCTATGTACCTTGAGAGAGCAAGACATTTGTGTCAGAGGACCCAGGTTTAAGTCAAGACTGCCTCTGGAGTCCTCTGAGGCCATGAACCTTTGCAGAATCAGAAGCACTGAAGAATTACCAGTGCATAACTTTGGAAGAGTATCATTGTCCTCAAGATTCGCTGTTGGTCTGGGGAGGTCGTTCAGTCAGTAAGGCACTCATAGCATAAGCATGAAGACCCTAGTTCAGGTCCCCAGCACCCAAATAACAAGCTGGGTTGAATGGTGCATGCCTGTAATCCCTAGGGTTTGCTGGCAGTCTGTCCAAATTGGTGAGTTCCAGAATCAGAAGAATCTCTCAAAAAGTAAGATGGGAAGTGACAAATAACTGAGGGATAGCATTAATGTTAACCTTTGGCACACATGCACAGAAACATGCACGCACGTGTGCACACATACATGACTTTAGGGTGGTGCTTTGGGCTGAATTCACTTTTGGGAATGTGGCAGAAAGAGAAAGCATGTGCCTAGTCTGCTTTTCCTCCATATGTCTCATTAAACCTACCCAGTGGCTGTTTGAGGGAAGGCACCACACTTGCACTTTAACCCCAAGGCACCTGCCACGTAACTGGCAGCCAGAAAATATAAGTAGGCAAGAATGTAACTCTGGGAACTCCTCATAAAGGGCGTCTGCAAATTCAAGAAGCTGCTGCTGACCTCTAGGTTCCAAAACGGTGCTTTCAAACCAGCTCTGTTGTGGTCTTTCAGCGATAATGGGTGGGCTCCCTTTCCATTTCTCACATCCCCCAGGCAGCAGGAGTGAAGTCTGTTCAGAAGCCCCCAGCAGGCTCCATGCTGGCTTGTACCTGGGGTGGGGGTGGGGCTCATCTTCAGGTAGACAGTGCCAGAGGGACGTCAAAATCAGAGTGATTTTCTCCTCTGTAGCAGTCGCTGGCAGCACGAGCTCTTAGCTACCGAGACACTATGCGTGCAGCCAGGGCCTGACCTGTTCTCTGTGGCTCTTCTCATAGCTCTGGAGTCCCATCCGTGCTATCCTCATTCTCCAGATGAAGATACTGAGGTTTACAGGAGCCAAATTGCCTGTCCAGGCTCACGTGGTTAATAAGTTATGCAGTTTCCACTCAAACTCAAATCTGTATTACACCAGCAGATGTGGGGATTTCTTTAAAACTCCCAAGAACACAGAAACCGCTAGCTACCCTTTGCCTGTCAGAGACTCTTTCTTCTGACTACTGACTGCCGTTTGCTTGAACACAAACTGGAGCACCAGTGGCAGCGGTGGTGTGGTGGTGGGTAGAAGGAGGTGACAGCTTGAGCATACACATGCCAGTGCCCGCGAATGGAAAATGACTCTTTAGTCTGATTCAGGGTGATGTCCATATTTAGGGGTGGGAGTGTGGCAAACAAATCGCCATGAGTACCCTGCAGATTGCTGTGGCCTGTGGTAGGGGAACGGTGACTGGATTATGCTCTTTTCAGCTTGCCTCTGCAGTTTTATTATTCCTCTCTGCTGTCTGCCTCTGAGTAACTGGCCATCGCAAGCCTCTTCCCACCCTATTAACCCTGGGGCAGCTTTATCATCAGTTTAGCAAAGCTGTACCCTTCTGGGGAGCCATGGCTGTCTGGGATATTTGGCCATCCACTGTGTTCATTCCTCGGATTCCACGTTTAGCAAATGTGTCTGGACAGTTACTGCAGGCATCTGTGTGGCTAGTAAATATGAGTCCCTTGAGGGCAGGGAATGGCCCCCATCTTTACATTAGTCCAGTTGCTCCTTACTGTCTGCAGTCTCTCTTTTGATAGATAAAAGCACCGGTCTTGTTGAGACTGATAATGCTAACAGCACTGAGGATAAAACTGAAAATGCTAATACTGTGGGGATGAGGACTGGTTGTCCTGCTTCTTGTGAGAGCACCTGAGTGCTAGCATATTCCAAGTCTCCTTAGGGCTAGCTTCTCAGTATGGGTGACCACTGGGATAGCTTGAGGGACTTCACAAACACTGGTGTCTGGGATCAGGGCTAGAGTCTGAGTTATTAGTCTCAAGCATGGCTCCAGGGGTTTGTAAAAGCTCTTCTGGGGATTTCCTGTGCCCCTGAGGTTGAAAACCACTCATCAACTGGCTTGGCACACCTTTGTGAGCTTCAGGAACTTGCAGTTGATTTATGGGAAAGAACTAATAAACTAATTAAACAATACAGTCAGGTATGCTCGCCACTGTTGCCACACTGCAGTGTTAAAAGGTACTCTGCAGAGGTGAGTGCTTTCAAAACTAAGAAACAGACAATGGGAACAAATGTGGAGACCCGCCCTTTCCTGTCCCTCACATTGTCAGGCAGTTCTTTACTGTGTCAGTCCAGAGCCCCTGGCATTTACTGTGCCGTTGCCATTGTGAAGGGCATGCATATGCTTTAGGGAAAAGGATGCCTTGTTAAAGTGAGATTCCTGAAATAGCTAGTTGAGAGAAGGCTGAGCAATGAGTAAAGACTGTAAAATATTGCCCTGCTTTAGAAAAGGCCATAGACTCTTAGAGCTGCAGCAATTCAGCCCCCTCATTTTTCTAGATTAGGAAATTAGAGTTCAGAGGATTTAAATGTTTTGTTCATGTCACACACGTGGCAGCTTGCCAACGAGTCATTCACTCACTCATTTGACCATTCAGAAGTGTTTGAGCGTGTCTTTGTTTCTGATTTCTTCAGTGCTTTGGGAATACTGGGGGATGAGTGAGTATTTTCAGGGGGCATTGTATGAGTCAGTAGATAGTCCTGAGCCAGAAAACTACCTATGTTGTTCCGAAAGACTGGGTTTATGGACAGCTTCTCTAAATGAGAAGACCTCCACAAAGAAGTGACCTTCAAACCTAAACTCTGATTATAAAAAGCATCAGAGGTAAAAGCCAGCGACAAAGGGCCCACAGTAGGACAGATTTGGTGCATTTGAGGTCTGTTGGTGTGACAGTGAATCAGAGTGTGGGAACTGATGCCTGAGGCCTGGAAAATACAGTAGGGAGTCAGCCAATAGTCAGGATGCTGGGGTCTCGGCCCCAGTTAATTTCCTAAGGAACGCATCATGCTTGAAAGGTCTTTTCCACAGATGTCCTAAGGTGTTTCAGATTTTCACTGAGACTCACTGTTGATGTGCTTTGCCTGTAGCTTGAATGAATGTCACTTGAAGCTTGAAACTTAGACTGCTTCTGTGACCAGTTCCCTATAGCCTGTAAGTGGTTACCTATCCTTTAGATCTACTCTTAGAGAGTGCAGAAGGCTGAGGGTTGGAGGGACTGTAAGTCCCAGGCTGTCCTGAGTTACACAGTGGGACTCTCTCCAACAACAGCAAACTCTTACATGAGGAAGGGCCCATTTGGAGATTCTGAGTGGACTCTCTTGTAAGGAGCCGTTGTGCAGTGTGCCACATGGACTGTGTTGCTGCTCAGGTTTTGTCTGGAGGCGGGGGAGAACTCATGGAATAGCTGTTGGACTTCATGACTAATCTTGCCTCTACCCCTTGCCCTCTGCTTCTCTGCATCAGATTGAGAATGCCAGCGAGGTGCTCATCACACCCTTGGAGAAGTTTCGAAAGGAGCAGATCGGGGCTGCCAGGGTGAGGACTTTGCAGACTTTGTTCTTAACACTTTAGGGTGGAGCTGAAGATTGCAGCATGTCCCCAGTCCCGGCACATCCTCCCAGACAAGGCGCAGCCCAGCTCCTCTGCAGCTTGCCAGTGGCTGAAGTGCAGCTCTCCGCGGCCACCACCAGCAGCCATCCCAATGTTTTGTTAGCTGATTGTTTGGTGCTAGTTCATAAACCACCCAAGGCAGAGGTGCTGCCTCCTTGTGCTAGGTGGCTGTGTACCTGGACAGTGGACTGACTGGTGGATCTACTCATTTTTGTGTAATTGTGAGTGTGGAGGAGGACCAGAACTGCGTTTAAGCAGAGTTATAAACTAGGCTTTGGGGATATCAGTACTTCTCATAAGCCTCATTAAACAAAGTATGTTTATTTGTGTGCGTGTGCATGTGCGTGTGTACACTTATGCCATAGTGCTCATGTGAAAGTCTGAGAACAACTTTCAGCAGATGGAATCTGGAAGCTGAGTTCAGATAAGGCCAAGCACCTTTTAACAGCAGAGCTACCTTGCCGGCACTTAGCTAGAAAAATGAACCTACCTCTGTTAGCTGTTTCAAATCTTCAGGAGAAACTGAAAAGCAAGAGACTTAGAGGTGATTTCCAGGGGTAAATATTTTAAGAGCACACATGTTCTTAATCTAGGTCAGACTCATAACTGCATGCACGCTTTAGCCTAGAGGTCACCATTTGTCATCACTGACCTTGAGACGCTGAGACCGAACAGCTAATTCTTTCATTCTTCCTAATTCTAATTCATATTGAAAGTAGATTTTTTATACACTATAGTGTGATCATGGTTTCCCTTCCCCCAACTCCTCCCAGACTCTCCCCCATATCTCCACCCAACCCAATTACAAATTTTTCTTTCTCTCATTAAAAAAAGACAACTGAAAAACAAAACAACTTCCCCCAAACAAAAAAACAAACCAGAATAGTACAAAACAAAACAAAAAGAGCCAAAGAAAAAGCACAAGGAACACAGAGACATACACACACTTGCACACTTATAAATGCCATAAAAAGCTAAAAATCGGAAACTATTATATAAACAACTTGTAAAGTCAAAAAAAAAAAAAAGGCCAGACAAAGCATTATAAGACAAAACCCTACAGAAGCAGCACTGAACTTTTGTATTGTCCGTCTACTGCTGTGCACAGCCCTGGCCGTAAGTGTGATTTGTACTATGTTGGAGAAAACTAATTTTTGTAATGTGTTACTAGAAGAGGCCAGAGGAAGCCAGTTCCCTTGCCTTGAGTTAAGTCACTAGCTAAGCTAGCTGGCTGACCTTCAGCAGAGTGTGAGAGGCCACCTGCCTCCAATTCCTCCCTTTGTCTTCCAGCAGCTTCTTTCTAGGAATAGTCATGACTACTGAAAGGGATGGTACTGGTAAGCTCCCGCCCATACAGTTATATCATAGTATTGTGTGAATTTAAGAGGAGACAAGTAAAGCTTAAAGGCAACCCAGGGAGGTGCCTCCGAGACACCCTAGGAGCCAGGAGGGCTCTTCGCCTGTTTTGGGTGGTCAGGAGCTTGCTCCTGAACTCTGCCTGTTTGAAGCTAAAATGATTTTTTTCCCTGCTGCTGCCTCTCTTCTCTGCTGCCTCCTTGGTTGCTATAACAACCTGTTGCACAGGGGTTCATGTGAAAACTGCAGGAAGGGAAGTTTATCTTAGATTCTTTTATTTACTCTCTTTTTTGTGATCAAATACCCTGACAAAGCAGCTTAAGGAAGGCTCACAGTTCCAGGAGACAGTGTATCATGAATTACAGTGGTCACATCACACTCCCAGCCAAGTAACAGAGCAGTGAATGCCTGCTTCCCTCAGGTCTTCTCTCTCTACAATGCAGGATCCCAGTCTGACTGGTCTTCCCACAGTGGGAGAGTTTCTCCCCACCATTAACACAGTCAAGATAATCCCCTACAGGTATGCTGAAGCCTTTCTTCAGGTGATTCCAGATTTTGTCAAGTTGGCAATTATCACCAACCCTAACAGGGCCCTTGGTTATTCTTGTGCTAGAGGCCACTCAGGAATAAAGTGTCACTGCACGTCTTGACCTAACTGTGGCCCCAAGTTTATGCTTCTGAATTGAGCAAGCTGGCCTTTTCTGCACAGGAGGTGGAGTGGTAATGCTGTGCTCTGTAACGAAACTGGAACAGACATCTGAGAGTAGTGGATAAGAGTGAGTCTAGAGCTTGACTGCTTGTTCCAAATGTCACTTCTGCAACTTGTGTGTGAGCACTTAGTCACTCATCTGTGGTCATGGCATCGGGTACACAAACCATTCAGAGTATGTGAGACGTGCCGGAGAGGTGGCTCAGTGGGTTAGTGTGATTTGCTTTTGCAGAGAGCCCGAGTTTCCTTCCAAGACCCACACGGCTGCCCGTAATTCCAGCTCCAGGATGTCTGACGCCCTCCTCTGGCCTCTAAGTGCACATATTCACATGTGTAAACCCATATGCAGATATGCACACATATATACATAGTTAAAATAAAAACAAACACAAAATGATATATGTGAGAGCCCAGCACTATATTCTGCACTTGGGTTGGTGAATGTCAAGTGCTATGGTTTTCCTGGCTGAGAGGAAGGCATTAGACACAAAGCTATAAACAGATGTCTAATTCCAAATTGTGGCATATGCTTAGGGAGGGTGACTTTTCATCGAGCTGAGACCTGCAAGTCCAGTGTTGCATTTGATGAAAAGGAAGTGGTTGCAGATGACAAGTACCTTATCACCATCAGCACTACCAACATTATCACATTTCCATCCTTACGGTCACCATCAGTGACAGTAGCAGCCCAGCACTCCTCACTACCACCAGCATTAATCACCACCATTACTACAACCCCACCATTACCACCATTGTTTCAGGGTTGCAATTGCTATGACCAAAAGCAACCTAAGGAAGAAAGGGTTTGGTTTCCTTACTCTTCAGAGGATGCCACCAAAGGAATCAGGGAAGGAGCTCAAGGCAGGAATCTGGAGGCAGGAACTGAAACAGAAACCATGGGAGAACACTGTTGCTGGCTTGCTCCTCGTGACTTGCTCGCCTTGCTTTCTTACAGGACTACCAGCTTGGGCGTGGCACCACCACCCATAGTGAACTAGGCCCTTAGAGTGGTCACCAGTCAAGACAATGTTCTACAGACCACTATGGAGGGTCATCATATCAACTGATGTTCTTTCTTCACAGATGGTCTAGCTTGTGTCAAGTTGACCTAAAATTTGCCAGCACAATCATTATCACCTCCAGCATTATTGCCACCACTGCTGCCACCATTGTCACAAGTACCACCACCATCTCTGTGACAATTACTACTGCCACTAGCACCATCAGTGCCACTACCAGTACTGCCACTGGCTCTGTCACCACCATTGGCACCACAATTATCACCATTACTCGCCATCTTTGAAATACACCGAGTGCTATCCGTGTGGCAGTCCATTTGCTAGATACTTATGTAGTTTAACTCATTTAATCTAAGTATCTGTGTGAAGAGTGAGCATTCTTATTTTATTGCAGAGTTGTAAGCTGGAAGATTTGAACAATGAACTTATCTAGTCACCCTGTGTTTGTAGAGGAGAAAGTTGAGTCCTGGAAAGTGATGGTAATAAAAGGGGATGCAGAGATAACTTAACAGTCAAGAGGACATGCATGTTCTTCCAGAGGACCAGAGTTCAGTTCCCAGCACCCACATCAGGCAGTTCTCAACAGCCTGTACTCCAGCCCCAGGGCATTCAACTTCTAGCTTCTGGCTTCCCAGGGCACCTGCACTCACATGCACATACCCCTACACAGACACACAGAGATGCAGCTAATAAAACAGTTTTAAAATTTTAAAGACCAAAAGGAGAAAGCTACCAACTAAGCACCAACCAGCACTCACTGACTCTGGATGCAGTGTGACCACCTGTCCTAGACTCCTAGCACCCTGACTTCCCCATGTGATGGACTGTACCCTGAAGCAGTCAGAATGGACCCTTTCTGCCTGCAGTTGCTTTTGTTAAGTGTTATGTGATAGCAGTGAGACAAGACCCTGGTGTACTGCGAGAGCTTTCCCCACAGAGGTCTTGACTCTGTCTCAGCATGGAGGTGACTGCTTTTTCCTTCCTTCCTTCCTTCCTTCCTTCCTTCCTTCCTTCCTTCCTTCCTTCCTTCCTTCCTTCCTTCCTTCCTTCCTTCCTTCCTTCCCTCTGTTCCCTTCTCTAATTATGGCTATCCATTGACCATGGACTGTGGAGGCTCCAGTTGTCTGAAAGTTACAAAATGCTAGTGACTCATGTCCCCCAGCGTTTCCTACCTAACCTTTGGCCAGTGGTCCTACCTGGCCCTTGGGTGCTCTGTAGGGTTGCTGGCCACTAGATTAGTGAGAGTGGATATGTGTGATGTGAGCGCTGAGTGGAGTTGGAATCCCACTCCAAGCTTGTGGGTTAACGGGGAAGAGTTGCTTGCCTGGACCGATCTCAGACTTGGAGGAGCAATGTTCTTCTATAAGCCTTTTTTTCCACTCACGTTTGCATGGTTCATGGTTTGAGTATGAATAGGCTTTAAGCCACGCTCAGATTTGTGAGAATGGATTCATGCCTGCTAAATGTGTATATGATTGTCTTCTGCTCTCTGTGCAGCTTGGGAGCTTGCTGTTGACTAGGGAACTGCTGGAGCCTGATAGCTCCCTTGGCTAGAGACTTCTTGGCTCAGAGTGTTCTGCCCTAGGACATTGGCACTGCTGACTGACTGTTCTGGAAGCCTCCCGTCTGCCTCCTCAGGTGTTCAGCAGGTCTCAGTTTACATTTCTCCCCACTGAGGCCTCTCCTAAGAACCCTCTGTTCTTTTTATTTTTCAAAGCTCTTGCAGTAGTCTGTAATTATACTGCTTATTTGTTTCCTGGTTAATTGTGTTTCTCTTTCCACTAGACTGCTTCTATCATGAGAGGAGGAGTCACAGCCCAAAGCAGAGCCTAGGGCAGAGTGATTGCTAGTCATTGTTAGATGAATAGAGAGATGCCTTCTTTCTCTGGCTGGAAATACCTTTGTCTTCGAGGCTTTAGAGCTGCACAGGATTCTCTCTCTGGGCTCCAGATGAGTCGAGAGCAGACTGACACACTGAGCTAGTGTGCCTGAGCATTCATGTTGGACTTGAGCAGCTTCTTAGGCCTGCCCACAGCGGCATGGAGAGCAAGGAGACTGCTTGTAACCATGTCTTAAAGTGTGGGCAGAGTGTAGGCTGTAAAGGCAGATCGTTAGCTTGATGTCAGCTTTGTCATTCTCTATGACATTTTGCAAATTGGCTTCCTGAGTTTTCTTACCTATAAAATGGGGAATAAAAATAGAACCTTGGTGACTCAGGAACTTGGTGGGAGAACACAGGTTGATATGTACATTATTAAATTATATTTCATTTAGACTAATTCAAGCTAATAAAAGCTTCTCAACAAAAGGAAAGAATTTCCATGTCCCATTTCCTTGACTCATGTTTACGTGGGCCACACCAGGTTTGTACCATGACGGTCACTGCTTTCCAGTCCATCACAATCCAGGCTTTCATATGACGAGTAATACTTCCTGAGTGTCCCATTCTCTTATCATGACAAGCCCCACCTGTGGGCAGCAGGGTGCTTTTGCTTTTGTTTTGATGCTCTTGATGGACATTATCTGAAGAGCAGGAACATCATCATTTCGGGGAGAGGGGATGGTGAACTGTGAGCAAACAAAGGTCTGGAGATATCCAGCTACCTCACCCCTGTAACCTCTTACACTCTCCCTGTCCACCCCCCCCCCCCCCCAGGAAGCCAAAAAGAAGTATGACAAAGAGACAGAGAAATATTGTGGCATCTTAGAAAAGCATTTGAATTTGTCTTCCAAAAAAGAAGGAATCCCAGCTGCAGGAGGTAAGGAACCACAGAGCTCCTGCGTGGTGTGAGTTTTTGCATGGTGCTGCAGGTATATGCCGATTGCTGTTTGTCAGCCAATACCTGGATTGGAGGAGACCTGAGAGCCAGGGTCTCTGTCCTCAAGCCTCCTCCAGGCATTTCCTCAGGCAGCCCGATTCCCTCCTCTGTGACCTGCCAATGGCAGAGGAGCAGTGTCGCCTACCTGCCTATGGCCTGTTGAGAGGGCTGGGCGTGTCTCTGGGCGGGCGTGTCTCTGGGTGGGCGTGTCTCTGGGTGTGCCCATTTCCAGCTGGGGTCTGCTTCTCTCACATTGGCCTTAATGCTGCATTCTGCCCTCTTCATCTCCTGCCTTGTATTAGTGACTTAAAAAAGACTGGCATCTGGAATAATTGGGTTATCTTACCTTAATAATAACTTTTAATGGATTCTCTTTAGTTTTAATGGTGTCTTACTGTCATACATGTATTTCGAATGTTGTGAATCCTTTTTACTAAAATATTCTTTGGGCATGGTGGGGTGGCAGAAATCTGTAATGCCCTTGCTTGGTAGGCCAAGGAAGGAGGATTATGAGTTCAAGGCCAGCCTGGAACATATAGAGACCCGTCTCAAAAAAACAAGGGTCGGGGGTATAATGTTAAATGGCAGAGTATAAGGCCCTGTGTGCACAAATCAATTCCCTAGCACCACTCATCACAAAAAAGAAAAAGATTCTCTGATCTGCTCCTGGTTTTCTTGGATTTGAATTTAAAAGAATGTTATTGGAAGCTCTTTTACAAGTGGTAATTTTGAAAGACAAGTTAGTGTGACATCCGTGGAGCTGCCACCATTTTCACTGTTCTTGGAGCTTTTCAGTTTGAGTCCACACATCCATGAGGGAAGAAATTAAAGGGCAGCAGGGTGGAATGATGCTGCCATCTAGTGGATAATGATGATATTTTAAAATGTAGAGTTTTCTTCAATGGATAGGAAGTTTGTACCCTAAATAATATTTGTTCCTTCACCTAGCATTCCCTGGATACTTCTATGGGCCTGTTCAGGATATGGGTGCTTTGAAGTTCTGGAGAATGTCTCTTTCAAGAAACACAAAATGATTTCTTGCTAGGTCAAGCTGGAGGGCATGCGTGCTCAAATGCATGCCATGTTTGCATGTGTGCGTGCACGTGGGTGTGCATGTTTATGAGTGTATCCGTAGACATTGTTTGCTATCATGTTGTTCGATTTCTTCAAAAAGTTCACCTCCACATATTTTCTACTTGCTTAGTGTATTCCTTAGGTAATAACTTGGTTTTCTGTTAAATTCTGTGTGTGTGCAGGCAGACAGCCAAGTGGACCTGGTTCGGCAGCATTTCTACGAAGTGTCCCTGGAGTATGTCTTTAAGGTGCAGGAAGTCCAAGAGAGAAAGATGTTTGAGTTTGTGGAGCCCGTGAGTAGCTGTTTCCTTTCATCTGAACTACCCAGCTCATGAAAGTGATGATGCTGCCACCACACAGGAGTTTGCTGAGCAGCCCCAACCCCAGGGCTGTGCCTTCTTGAAGCAGAGAAAGCCCCATCACTTTGGTGTCAGACAAGCAATGGTGGAGATAGTATATTCAGCATAGCTCCTGTCTCTTGCTGTCTGTTATCACACTATTTTGTCTGCAGGGGAAATGTGTAAGTGGGATCCGGGGGAACAGCTCCCTCCCATCGTGCTAGGAAGTGGTCACAGTCTAGTAGTTCTCCTTTGTGCTGCTCTTCCATCAATCCAGTCGAAAGAGTAATTCTAGAAAGCAGGGGAACATGTACTGAGGTGTTCTCATTCTGCACTTAGCTTCAGAGCCCCTCTGATCCAGTCAAGTTCTACGGGAAGCTCTTATATAAGATGATTCCTCCCAGTACATTTGTCATAGGCAGAGTGGCACAGAGACTCTGCTGAGGGAACCATGATGGAATCCAGACTTGGCCAGTATTCCACCGGGCGTGAAAGAGTGCCTTGGGAAAGTCTGACCTGATGGTTGTACCGTCCTTGTTAGGATTCCATTCATCTGTGGTACCACTCCACTACTGTGGCACCTGAGCATGGACTCAACATTAGGAAGACTTTATGGAGACATGAGGGTTGGGAAAGAGATAGAGGAAGGGATAGGGGAGGAGTTGTGGGGGAGAGGAGAATGGATTTTGTCAAAAGGCATCCATGTATGAAGGGTTTTAAAAAATATTTAGCCATTAGAAAAAACTTTCAAAATTAAAAAAAAAGTGTTCTTAAGCAGAAATTCTTGCTTTTGGTGAGTATTATTCCAGCTGGCACATCTGACTTTTGAATTTGATCTTTCAGTAGGCATATTTAGCAAGTAAGATATCACCCCTGTTAGTTTGGGTTGAATGACAACCATGAAACCCTCACACACAATACATGTTTACTTCTCACATGTATGTCCGGCCTGGCTACATAGGTAGGCTTGGCTTGACTCTTCTCTTTCTTGCCCTTCCTCCTCTCCCTTCATCACCATCATTATACGTTTCTTAAAAAACTTTTTGGGGCAATTGCAGCTCTGCTACTTACTAGATGAGACCTGTCACAAGTTTATATCTATGTGTTTCTGTTTCTTCCTTTAAAAATGGGATAAAACCAATACCCCCCCAGATATGTTAAGAATTGAATCATATAATGAAGGTAAAGAAGTAAAAGCATGCACTTATTTTCGTTGTCCTTTTGTATAATGTACTTTCAACAGCACTGTGCAGAAGACTCCCGGGGGCTCATTGAAATGCATATTTCAGGCCCTGTCCTTGGTGGCAGGATTGGGATAGAACAGGTCAATCTGAATTTCTAACACTGTGAAAACCACTTGGAGAACTGGAATGGTCCAGGTCTTCACTGTGAAATAGCATCTGATTGATTACAGGCAGAAAGGGAGCAACAAAAATTCACTGAATGAGATTTCTGAGCACACAGGTGTTAGCCACTGAGCATGTAGGTTCCCTGGAAGGCTAACTTACATAATGTTGACCATGCTAACATGTTTCTTATAAAATAACCCAAAGTACTGGTGTATGTATATGATTGACCTTTACAAAAATAAAATAGGAGGTAGAGATGTAGCTCGGTTGATAAAGTGATTGTCTAGAATATATACACAAGGTTTGATCCTTAGCACTGCAAAAGCCAGGTGTGGTGGCACACACCTGTCACTCTAGCATTTTGGGGATAGAGGCTAGAGGATCAGAAGTTCGCAGTCATACTCAGTTATATAGTTATTCCAAGGAAGGAAAGTCAGGCTTCTGAGATCTAAACCATTTGCCCCTCCCTCCCTCCCTCCCTCCCTCCCTCCCTCCCTCCCTCCCTCCCTTCCTCCCTCCCTCCCTCCCTCCCTCCCTCCCTCCCTCCCTCCCTCCCTCTCTCCCTCCCTCTGGTATGCATGCCTGGAGCCTTTATCTTCTTGTTAAGATGTTGCATGTTGTAGAGAAATGGATTGTAGATGCTGACACCTTGACTTCATGAAGCTGAATTCATGTTCCATCTGTGCTCTGACTTTTCATAACTGAAGGTTGGTTAGTGCTCTTTAGAAGTTGTTCCACCCCGCCCCCCCTCAAACCCCGGTTTTGGGCATCACATCCTCTTAGTTTTAGGCAATCATTTGCTGTTGGGAAACTCCTTGAGGGTTGTCTTACAGGTCCTTATGCCAAGTGCAGCTCCGTTCTCTCAGTCCTTTCTTGTTACTGTGGAAACTCCTTCCCAGAGCAGTTAAAGGACCTAATGCCTATTGCAAGAAAACACACTGCTCTGGATGATAGAAGATCTTAGAAGATAAAACAAGCAAAGGATTACCAGCCTATAATCCACAACCTCAGAGAAGCTAGGAAGCAAGGAGGACCTTAAGAGACACATACATGGACACCCAGAGAAGGAGAAAGGAACAAGATCTCCTGAGCAAATTGGGAACATGGGGAGGGGGGGAAGGGAGGGAGGAAGAAAGGGAGGGTAAGGAGAACATGAGGGATCAAGAAGATTGAGAGGAGGGAAGAATAGAGAAAGAGCAAGAAAAGAGATGCCTTAATAGAGGGAGCCACTATAGGTTTAAAGAGAAACTGGCACTACGGAATTGTCCAGGGATCCATAAGGATGACCCCAACTAAGAGTCTAAGCAATAGTGGAAAGGCTACCGTAAATGCCCTTCCTCTATAATGAGATTGATGATTACCTTTTATGCCATCCTAGAGTCTTTATCCAGTAGCTGATAGAGGCAGAAGCAGAGATCCACAGTTGAACTTCTGGAATCCAGTTGTAGAGAAGGAGGAGTGATGAGCAAAGGGGTCAAGACAGTGCTGGGGAAACCCATAGAATCAGCTGACCTGAGCAAGTGGGACAGAATGGACCCCAGTCTGACAACCAGGGAAACCAGCATAGGACGGAACCAGGCCTCCTGAATGTGGGTGTCAGTTGGGAGGCCAGGGCAGTCTATGGGACCTTTGACAGTGGAACCAGTATTTATCCACAGTGCACAAATGGACTTTGGGAGCTCATTCTCTATGGAGGGGTACTTCTAGGCCCTCCTCAAGTTATGTGACAGACTTTGATGATCCCCCAGGGGAGGCCTCACCCTTCCTGGGGAGTGGATAGGGGTGGGATGGGGGTTGGTGGGGGCCATGGGAGGACAGGATGAAGAGGGAACTGGGATTGGTATGTAAAATAAGATTGTTTTTAACTTACAAAAAAGAGAAAAAAGAAGATAAAAAGTTTCACAAGAAACCATAAATCAATATCAATAAAGATTCGATTAGGAACCACCCTAAAGTTAGGATTGGGGAAGGTTTTTTGCTTTTGTTTTGTCTTCCCAGGAAAATAAGAACAACCATCTTGAATAATTTAAGACCTTTGGACAAGTGAGCATCAAAAGAAGATGGTGGGACTCACAGAAAGAATCATCAAGAAAAGAAATGATCTGACCCATTGTGATCTATGAAGTCTCCAAAAAGAAGATGGAACCCCATAAAGATATTCCACCAGGACTGTGATAACACTGTTAAGCTGAATAACACCAACTAAAGATCGACTTTGGACTACAAGCTGCTCAGAAGTGGCCAGCTAAGATGATCCAGCCTCACAGACTACTCTAGCCAGGACTTGAGACAAGCCTTGTAGTTTCCTATTACACAGAGATTGTACAACAAATGATGCAGCTAACTCTCCCAGGACTTGACAACCCATTTTTTTAAGGATCCCCTAAAGATGCTATTGTCCCCAGACAGCAGAAAATTACTTTAAGAACATGAAGCTCACATCACAAGAGGTGGGGTGGGTGGTTTTCTTAGTCATTCAGTAGGTTATGGATATTTATCATTGGTTACAAGTTGTTATTGGTAATGGCCAAAAAAGGGGATACAGATATGATAGGATAAAAAGGATAGATTATTGAATCTAATTCTGAAAAGAAAAAAAGGGAGGATATAGATATGATGAGATAAAAAGGTAGATTATTGAATCTACCTCTAAAAAGCAACTACTAATTTTAAATATTTTACATTAGATTGGACTTTTGTATACTGTATACCAATTTTGTATATTGATACAAATCTGAGATTAATTTAGTTAAAATATACTGTACATACATTTCTAATATTGTTCAAAGTATTGTACCTATATAGCTCATATAACAATGTAATGTAATTTCTAGTCCTTGAAAGTTATTATTACCAACTATATAGAATAATAAGGAAATGCAAATTAGCAATTAGTCACCTATTACATTGAATTTATAGTCATATTAGGAATGTTTACAAGGTCAAACAGATATATTTTGCATAGACAAATCATCTTCAAACACTGCAGAATATGGCATTTAAGATTCTTTAATAACAGTTTCTTTTTTTATGACAAGGAGACATGTCTGCTCCTGGCAGCACCAGTCTACAACAGAGTGGGCACTGAAGAAACTCCACATGGAGTTTACTTTCTTTGTGGCAAAAATAGTCACTGGGCAAGAAAGTGTCCTTGCCTCAACTGCTGCCAGTATGCTGTCCAAATTGGACAACAAAAGAGAATGACTGCAAATTTTGCCAAAACAAGGTGGGACAGTCCTTCAGAAGCCCTGCTTTACAGAAAAATCTGTCAGATGTGCTAGGCCTATGGGCTGAAGATGGATGCCCCAACACTGCAGAAGAACCTTGGGTGACTGTCCAGGCAGCCAGCTGTGTCTGCCATTTCACACATTTTTGGAAGTCTCTTGCTTGTACTTCTTGTTTACTCAGCTAAAATTATGTCCTTCTTGATTCTATGAGGGAGTTGAAGACTAGATAGCATAGTTACAGTTTTCCTTGTTTACCAGACTCAGAAAAGAAACTCACTAAAGAAATGTAAAGTATAAAATTTTGAGAGACATTAAAAGATAATTTGATAATGCAGAATAGGTACCAGACTTTAGACTCACCAAGATAGGATAGATAATGGAGTATTTTCTCTCAATTTGTCAAATGCATTAGACACTGTTGATGTAATTATTACCTGTATATAGTGTATATAATTATTGTACTTATTGTATATAGTTTTTCTTGTGTTAGTTATAGCCTTCCTTTTTTTATAGACAAAAAAGGGGAATTGTGGTGATATATTGTTTATGATTTAATAAAGCTTGCCTGGGGATCAGAATGTAAAGCTAGCCACACTAGTTAGCCATCGATGTCAGGCAGTGGTAGCACACACTTTTAATCCGAAGACTCAGGAGACAGAGGCAGATGGATCTCTGTGAGTCCAAGACCACTCTGGACTACACAAGAGTGAATTGGTCTAAAAGAGTAACAGAGCTCACACCTTTAATTTCAGCACTAGAGAGGTATATAAGGAAGAAGCAAAGGTTCTCATGTGAGATTCAGTTTCCAGTCACAGGGAAGACAGGATCTCCATCTCAGCCTTGGCAGAGATAACAGCTACTGACTGACTGCTTTGCTTTTCTGATCTTCAACTTGAACCCAATATCTGTCTCTGGGTTTTTATTACTTGTGCCACACCTGTCCCCCAAAGCCCATCTTTGAGGTACTAACCTGAGATTTAGGTTTAAAAGTTAGGTAAGAGATATGACTAAGTATTCCTGGTCAAGGTACCGTGCTGCCTGTAACTATCTCAGTTCCAGTCTGTCCTGCAAGGTGGTTGGGCGGGTTGTCAAACTGTGAAATCTCTTCTCAAATAACACCTTTGTCCTCGGGCCAGCCCAGGCTGCAGAGACCCTTTCCATCTCCTTGCATGAGATCCCCACAGGGGTGCAAGTGACTCTTCCTAAAATATATTCATTCCTGCCATTGTGGTTACACCAGTACAAAGTCTTTGATAGACTGGGCTGGGCATGTGTTTTATCTTGTTGGTAGCATCCCTAGTCTGGTGCTAGTCATTCCTGCCAGAAGCAGGTGCAAAGTACAGGGAGAAATCCCTCCACAGAGAGACCTGATGCTCTGAAAAGTGGAGTGGGTGAACAGATGTGTTCGTGGAGGGCCTGAAAAGCTAAACACAGTGGCACAAAGGAAAATAGATGCATTTCTGACGAGCGGGTGGTGATGGGTTCTGGAGGTTAGAGTTGATCACTCAGCAGACAGCTGTGATCTCAGAGTGATGATTCTTCCCAGCTTTGTTCTATACTTTACTATAGCCCCTTCTTTATGTCAAAGCTGCGGATGCAGGCAGTCTGGGGAGAACTTGGCAAGGGGCTGGGATATTCATGTCCAAAACTTCAGTGGAACGTTGTTGGTGAGGCATAGAGTGGTTGTTGAGAATATGAAGGCATTCTGGGATAAACTGTGGTGAGCAGGTGATTTTACCACTTTATTAACAGAGACTAGAGATAAACTGTGGTGAGCAGGTGATTTTACCACTTTATTAACAGAGACTAGATCATGGGTATACTTACCTACTAGCCTTAGGGGATTTAAACAAGAGTCAAGGGACTTAGCATAACTGAAGCCAGGGAAGTATGTGGTTGCTTGGTAGACGGGTTTTTAGTGTTTGCAGTGGGAAAGTTGAAGAAAGCACAGAAGTGCCCCTTGGTGCACATCGATTCTGGGCGACTCTGTGATGTGGCTTTGCTGCCTAGATTACAGGTTCAGAGCTCTCCAGCTTCCTTAACACCTTCTGAATCATGTGACAACGGATGTTATTAATGTTCAGCAGCTGAGGTGCAGCTTCAGCCAATAGTTCTGAAAAGGTGATGTTCTTAGGCAATGAATGGTAAACTTTGGTGCCAAGGAGAACAGGTTTCAAACCCTGGCTGTTAATCACTGTGAAGTAAGGAGCAAGTTGCTTAGCCTCCACAGATGCCTCCTCCTTATTTAAGAGTGCCCTATTAGCACTTAAGTCATAGGTGGTGTGAGCCATCAGTGATACAGGGCATGGAGGACACAGCATCCCACCCACAGAGCTGCTCAGTGTGTGTTAGATGTCATTACTGCCTGCTCCATGCTTCCCAGACAGCGTTGGAGACCCAGATCCTGCTCCTTCTGTTCTCTTCTCAGCCAGCCTGTGAACCCTGCTTTTCCTCCCTTTTCACAGCTCCTGGCCTTCCTGCAAGGACTCTTCACTTTCTATCACCATGGTTATGAGCTGGCCAAGGACTTTGGTGACTTTAAGACACAGCTGACCATCAGCATACAAAATGTGAGTAGGGACAGGGACCAGAGAGGGAAACAGGAGAAGGGTGTGTTTGCTCCAGAGTTCCTCTCAATGAGATGTGTGGGGTGGATTCCTGGCTGGGTTCAGAGGAGGACAGCAGAAATCTGATGTTTCTAGAATGTAAGATGGCCCTGGTCTGAGCACCATTTCTGTCCCTGGAAGTGTTACTGCTGGTGTTGTATGTTTTTCACAGCAGCATCAGAATTTCCCTTGACAGTGGAAATCCCAACTTAGCCCAACATACTTCTGTGCAAGTAGCTGCCTGGTCACCGGAGGCCTTACATGAGTGTTCAGGGGTAAGAGATCAAATGGTGTATGTACTCTTGCCGGGCAAGACTAACAGGACATGTAAGTCAGTGCCATCCAACTGCAACTGCCTCTGTGGCCTAAACCTTGGACCTTTGGGTGTGCAGAGTTGTTTAGGGTATTTGGGTAATAAGTCATAAGGCAAGCTCTCCTCTTACGTTGGGATTGGCCACAAGTTCTATGGTACTCCTATGTAGGACCTAGATAGGCATTTCTGCATGACTTGTCCTGCATGGCCTTCAGAAGTTTGGACCTTACTTTGTTGTTGTGGAGAACAGGAAATTGAGGAGTATGTCAGAAATGGTTTCAGAAATCATATATATATATATACATATATACATATATATACATATATATGCACACACACATATATACACACATACATATACATACATATATACAAATCCTCATTCATGCTAGGCAAGCTGTGCTCCAGTCCCAGGGTTCATCTGAAGGCAGGCTTTGAAATAGAGATTCATGGGCAATAAGTAACTCAGTGTCTGAGAGGCTGAGCATGGAGGGTAGTGGACCATTGGACCGTGATGCAGCTGCAGTTGGAGGCTTTGGACTGTGCCTCGGGGTTCTGAGTGGGCCTGAGTAGAAGCCAGGGGTTTCTGATCGCTCTGGGTGAGGGGATGACCTAGAAAGCCAGCAGCACCCCTTTTAGTAGGGTGCCACCTGTGAGCCACCAGCAAGCTACATTTCTTGCAACTGGAGTGGTGAGGACCATAATCCTAAAGGTGTGCAAGCAGTTATGCTAGTCTGGAATGCTTATTTAAGCACCCTCTCCTGGTCCAACAGTCTCCACTCACTCTTGAGGAGTGAGGCTGGGTGTTCACATGCTTCCTGGGTGATCTTGGTGGTTGCTTGAGTTTAAGTCATTCAGATATGAGACTGTAAGGCAAAGATGTACTTTTGCAAGTCAATATTTGCCCATTTCCTAGACCACTGAATGCCCCTTACTTGCTCTTAGATCTAAGGTTCCTATTTAGGCTGATCTTCTGAATTATTAAGAGATTTCTTTTTTTTCTGCATTTGATCATTTGAGTAAAATTCCTTTCATTCCAGACAAGAAACCGCTTCGAAGGAACCAGATCTGAAGTGGAATCGTTGATGAAGAAGATGAAGGAAAACCCCCTTGAGCACAAGACCATCAGCCCCTACACCATGGAAGGGTACCTTTATGTGCAGGAGAAACGTAAGTGCACTCACAGCCTCGGGGAGGTGTGGTTTCTGGAGGTCCTTGCAGATCTGTGTCTGCAGCCTTTCACCCCCAAGTGCTTTGTTCTGCTTCCTTGGTGCTGGGTTCTCTTTGATGCTGCATTTCTCCAAGGCTCTGTGGGAGGTGGTTCCTTTCTTAGTGTCCCCCTCCTTTTGAACCTTGATGTCTTAGTGTGCTTGTGCACTCCACCCCAACCACGTGGGTGCTGGCAAGGTCTTGCACAGCTCACCTTCTTGAGTGCCTTCGTATTTAGTGATTCTGCTTTCACTTGAGAGTAATCATGGCTTGGGCCCCTTTCCCGTTCTTCTAAACTCCTGCCATCCGGATACTTGGATTTTCTATGGAAAGTCAGAGTCAGGAAGGAGGCCCATCATCTCCTTGCAATGCATTCAAGGGAGGAGACACCAGGGGCTGCTCCTTGAGTGCAGTTTTTAGGGAGGACTCACAGCTCGTGCCTTAGGCCTTGGAGAAGGCTTAGAGCATATGCATTAGGGGAGCACCTCCAGGTGAAGGAGTAGGACAGTGGAAGCTTTTGTCCTTTAATGGTTGTTCTATTATCAGGCATACTGTCCCATCCTCCTTCACAGGATCTTGCTAAGTAGTCTAGACTGGCCTTGAACTCACGGTCACCCTGACTTTTCCTTCTGAGCTCTAAAGTCGCATGCACACCTGTATGCTGCCTTGCACGCCTTTTGCCTCCAGGCTTTCTCAGCAAGATGCATTACCTCTGATTTGTGCTGGTTTTGTGTCCCTCTCTGTGGTCCTCTTTGGCGGTGACTTCACTCCTGCAAGCTCCTGGTGGAGTAGGACAGAAACACTTGATTTTAGTGGTTATGTACGTAGTGCTAATACTCACATATAATTGCTTAGGCTTAAAATTGTTCCCTTCTGACAGCAGGGACTGAAGTGGGGCTCAAAGTATTGGCTACAGTAAGGGTTTTATGGTCCTTACTCTTTGAGGAATGGGCTTGAGGGCTTTATAGGAACAGAGGACTCTTCATTTGTGTGCTTCATTCCCTGAGTATGGGGTGATGCTCATCTTGCCATGTGTGCGAATTCCCTCAGCCCGTCCCACTGCTCATGGTTGGAGGTAACTTAGAACAACAAACTCTCAGGAAGGTAGGGATAGAGGTCACGATGCCCCAATACAAAGGTTGTTATTCTTCACCTGTGTGTGTGGACTCAGTTTTGCTCTCTCACACTCACGTTATACCACACAGTTCTAGTCAAACATTTCACTTGCTCTTGACACAGATATGTTGTTTTTGTTACAGCTACTTTTTGCTTTTCTAGCACACCACTTCCAAGCATTTCCTTAGGATACAGTATAGTGTTAGAACTTACATTTTTAATAATTTCAAGCTTACAAAGAAGTTGCAAGGATGCTATAAAGAAAACATGAATTTACCCAGATCACAGTTCCTCAGTGCTTTGCTCTAGTCACCTGCTCTTTTCTGTGTTTCTCTGTGGATATGTGCACTACTCTCATGAACACTCAGCTCTCCTTGCTCTAATCACTCTCTCTCTTTTCTGTGTTTCTCTGTGGATATGTGCACTACTCTCAAGGACACTCAGGTCTCACTGGTCTAGTCACCCGCTCTCTTTTCTGTGTTTCTCTGTGGATATGTGCACTACTCTCAAGGACACTCAGCTCTCCTTGCTCTAATCACTCTCTCTCTTTTCTGTGTTTCTCTGTGGATATGTGCACTACTCTCATGAACACTCAGCTCTCCTGAGCTGTTCTGCTCTAACGCTTCATCCTGGTGCCCATCAGTCGCCTGTTGTCTTCATTTCCACCATCCAATCAAGAAACTGTGTTGTCTTGTCACTGTATGGTCACTGTTTTCCCTTAAGTAACTAGTGTTCTGTGGGAGTCACCTTGTAATTGTGTAAATAGCTTTCTGCTTGCCATGTTTCTGTCCATAGAGTTGTGACCTATTGATCCTTGCCTAGACTGATGGAGATTTCCCACTTTTATTACTTCTTGTCACCCACCTTTATCTATACATCTGCCCACTTGTCAGACCATCTGTCCATCCCTGTCTTTCCATTGTCAATAAAACCTTAAGGTTAACATTTCACTCACAGGCTATAATCTATTACTTTATATACTTTGATGTGGAGTCCTTGTGTTGTGTAGTCCCTGGAACTTGCCCCAAGCTCTGAGAATGTTTGCCTTTAATGACTAATCTATTGCTGTGTGTGCGTGTGCATGTGCCTGTGTGACAGAGAGAGAGAGAGAGAGAGAGAGAGAGAGAGAGAGAGAGAAGAGAGAGAGAGAGAGGCAGAGAAAGGGGTGAGAGAGAATGCACACATGTGTGGGGTACATATGTGTGCCTGTGCATGTGGTGGCCAGAGAGTAATGTCAGGTGTTGTTCCTTAGGTGATATTCACCTTGTTTTTTTTTTTTTTTGGAGCAGGTTTCTCGTTGGCCTGAAGTTCACTGAGTAGGCTAGACAGACTAGACAACAAGCCCCAAGGATATACCTGTCTCCACCTCTCCAATTGTGCACCAATAAACCTGTTTTTAAAAATTAACTAATTTTTGTGCATGTTTTGAGGGCCTGACTCAGGTCCTTAAGCTTATAAGGATTTATTAACCAAGCTGTCTCTGTAGCCCCTATATTGCTTTTCAGATTATTAAATGATATCTAATACTTATATTTGGAAGTCATGCCAAACCATTAGTAATCACTAAGCAACCACTCTTTACATGGTGTTGGTAATTGTGACCATTTCTATTATGTGATCTCTGTAAACATCTAAAACTAATATTGATTGAAGTCCTTGCAGGCTGATAGTGACTTCTTCCTCGAATAGCATTTTGTTGTTGAAAATAAAGCAATTGGCCCAGCGCAGGGTATACAGCCAGAGACTTTTGGCGTTGGTGCTGCGATGTCTCCCTCTTTCCTGGGGAGAATTTTGAGACAGACTCCTTAGATTGCATTTAGGTATTTAGTCACTCCCAGTCTGCATCTGTGGTGTCTCTGAGGTTTCCATGTCTGCTTTCAGATCTCTTGGAGTTCTGCTGGAGTAAAAATTAGGGGTTTGGAAGTAGGTCAGAACCCCTGAGGTTAGTCACCGGGCAGCTGTGTGGGTGGCACGGTGCCATTGTTCAGATAGAAATGGTGGCTGACACTTGGAAGATTCTGTGCTCTTTCCTCAGTTACCTCAGTCAGGGCAGAGAGTGGAAACTTCAGATGGTGGTTGGTGATGGGCACACGAATTTATTTTCTCAGGGAACCGATGCTTCCTCTGTATTTGAAGACCCACTGGATGTAGCAGTGGTGGGGTAGAGACCCTGTGTGTCTGGGTGGTGAAAGCATTGTTTGGTTTTGCTTTCACCTGTGGGATCCGGCTTACGTCTGTTTCAGCCTAGCTGTGTAGGGAATACATGGCCCCTTAAACAGTGTCAGCATCACACCCGAGTTCCTGAGTCGTCTCTGTGTCATAGCAGTTAATGATTTGCAGCACTCGGTGGATGTGTGCAGATGGCTAATAGGCAGCATTCCTTTGCAGGTCACTTTGGAACTTCTTGGGTGAAGCACTACTGCACATACCAGCGGGACTCCAAACAAATCACCATGGTTCCATTTGACCAAAAGTCAGGAGGAAAGGGGGTGAGTTCTTGCTTGGTCTGCAGGCTAACAGGTAATGGTCACTGTACATGTCTAAGAGTGCAGTGTTTCACTGTAAAACTCTCTAATTCTGCAGGGGTTCTCTGAGGCCCGTTTCCCTGAAACCGGTTAGAATAGTCATTGTTAGCACTATTAACTGTAATGAAGACCCTCTTACTTTACATGAATACAACATTAAATGTGTCAGATACCAGTGAGTTACGAGAAAGTCCTGGTTGATGGACATCATCCCATGAGACTGATTTTGCCTCTTCTGCTTGACCCCTGGAGCTGGTTAGATGAATCAGTCATTAATTTCTATGTAACAAGTTACATACCAGTTATCTTAATATTCTGCACAGTCTTTGTGGGTCAGGAATTTGGGGAACGTTCGATGAGTAGGAAGGTGAGGCTCAGTTCAGACCAACAGCAGCTATAATAGAAGCAGTGTAGATCTGAGACAGCGCAGGCTGACCAGACACAGCTCTCTTCCTCTCCTAACTTTCTGTCTCCTTTCTCCATTTCCTCTGTCTCTGTGGTCTTGGGCCCTGGGGATGGAAGAAACTCTGTGGTTGTGTTTCAGAAGAGGCTGCCAGGTTAGGGATGGATCCCCGCACTGCCTTTGGGATTCCCTGTGTTCTCCAGGTTAGGGATGGATCCCCGCACTGCCTTTGGGATTCCCTGTGTTCTCTAGGTTAGGGATGGATCCTCGCACTGCCTTTGGGATTCCCTGTGTTCTCTAGGTTAGGGATGGATCCTTGCACTGCCTTTGGGATTCCCTGTGTTCTCTAGGTTAGGGATGGATCCTCGAACTGCCTTTGGGATTCCCTGTGTTCTCTAGGTTAGGGATGGATCCTCGCACTGCCTTTGGGATTCCCTGTGTTCTCTAGGTTAGGGATGGATCCTCGAACTGCCTTTGGGATTCCCTGTGTTCTCCAGAGCTCTGCTCTTGCTTACTCCAGACAGTTGTCTCTGCTTGCTGCCATGAGCAGTCAGATGCCTCCCCTACAGCCCTACAGAGATGATCTATGTCTCCCCTGGGCTGCCTTCCTTCCTTCTCTCTCCTCAGCACTCTGTATTTCATCATGTCCTAGGATGGAATTTTTTTCTTTAAGTTCATTGCTTGAATTTTTTTTTGTCATTGTGAATTTAAGGCTTTATCTGAATTCAGAACTGAATACATTTTCTCCAGTTACCAACTTTGCATATTGCCTCTCCTTAATTTTTGCCATTATTTCCTTGTGAGTATATGTAACTGTTTAAATAAGAGTATAGTTTGCCTCTTCTGCCTGTCCCTTTCTGTAAGAAAGAGTCTCACTTTGTAGCCTAGGCTGGCTTGGAACTTGTATAGTCAGGCTGGCCTCCAGCCTCAGTGGTTCTTTCCTCTGCCTCCTTCCTCAGCCTGTATGGTCCTAATCTTTTTAAATATCTGGAATATATTTTGAGTGACTTCTCTGGTTCTATCTTTGGTGTAAGTATTTTTTTTTTTCGGTTGTGTCTAATATTTTGGTAAGTTAGTACTTTGCTAGCCCTCCATGCCTGGCCTTTTATGGACATTTTTGTGTACCATGTTGAGTTAGTGTTTGGAGGGCATTCAAGTGTACCAGCAGAGAGAGTGCAGAGGCTAGGCAAGCCTGGACCAGCTGCACAGTGCTGTAATGTGCTCTGCTCCTTGCTCTCTTCAACTCCAGCTTTTCTTCCTGGATCTCTTATTTCACCGACAATAGTTTTGTCAGCATCTCTGTTCCTTCCTTGCATCCAAGCAGTAGGAAAGCCCTTCTAATTTTTTCGTTTCTTTTTTTTTTTTTTTTTGGAAGAGGTAGTGCTGACTTACAAATAATCTCAGGAAAACACATATGTTAACAGAGTTATAAGAGAAGATTACAAATTATACCTAAGTTTCTAGGTACCGCTGGCTTTCAGAGAAGTCATCCCACTTTGTTGGAATGGGCCATAGTCCTTTTCTTCCTGTTGCCCCTCCCAGAAACCAGCTGACTGCAGATTCTCTTCCACAGTCTTCATTTGCTTCAGGGCTTCTTGCTTGTTTCCAAGTCTTTAAGGAACTTGGTTGTATTTCTCAGTTCCTGTTTTATTACCCTAATTAGTAAAGGGTGGAGATCTGTACAGTAGTCAGTGTTTGTGTTTCCAAAGACTTCTGTTAGATACCATGGGGTACCTCAGTGGGTTGTTGAGTGCAAGAGTGTCAAGCAGAGCCGAGAAGGGCCTCCTTAGGAGCATGCTACTGTAACAAATCATTTTCCAAGTCATAGCTGGTCATATCTATGCTCCACGTTGGAGTGGTCCATCTCTTGCATTATCTTGTGTTGTGACCTCTGATCTGACTTTCCTCTTCTTCACCAAGGGAGATATTGGGGACAGAGCCAACAATTTACTTCTAAGTTTATACACCTAAGTTCCAGAGTGAGTGCACTAAACCTTTGTCCTGGAGTTGAAACCTCCTCCTTCTGAGGCCAAATCTTTTCATGGTGCTACCGTTTCCTAAGTATTCTAGTGAAGGAAATAGGAGTTTCAATTGTCTAGGGGTCTGGAGGCGATGTCCTCACAGTTTGGACAGAGAAGTCATGTGGTGTATTGGTTCTGTTGTCTGTAACTAATGTAGGCACTATGGTGTGTTCCCACACTGGACATGATCCCTCCCCAGTCTTTGTAGGCCTTTAACTCTAGCTATACCCCCTTCCCTCTGTTCCTACCTGACTCTCTGGACCCTGACTATAGGGACCTTTCATCTGCTGACAAAAGCCACTTAGAGAAGGAAGGGTTTATTGTAGCTTAAAGTTCCAAGAGATCCAGCCCACCATGGCAGGGACTGAATGACAGCAGAAGCAGGAGGTTCCGGGTCTACTGTACACATAGTTAAGAAGCAGATTGCCATGAACACTGATGCTCAGCTTCTTTCTGCAGAGGCCCCAGCCAATGGGAAGGTATCATCTATATTTAGGGTGGCTCACCCCACCTCAATCAAGTAAATCCCTGGAGGACTTGCTCAGACGATAGTCCCCTAGATGATTCTAGAGCCTGTCAAGTTGGCAGTCTTAACCATCCTACCAGTGTACAATGTTTAAGAGTGATTAAATCTCCCGGGTTTTTTTTTTAACACTGTTAGCACATCAGCAGATAATTACAGTTTTTTTTTCCTTACATCCTCAGAACAAAATCTCGTTGTCCTCCTTTAAAAAAATATACATATGCAATTTTAAAGACAAGGTCTCACTCTGTAGCCCTGGATGACCTGGAACTTGATAAGAAGAGCAGGTTGGCCTGGAACTCACAGGCCTCTGTCTCCTGTGTGCTAAGATTAAAGGTATGCCACCATGTCCAGCTCTTCCTCCATATGGGCTTATGTCTGATGGTCCTTTATAGAAGTTACTCCTGGTTTTTTTCATGGCACTTCATCTATGCTATAATTATAGTAGCTGGCCCATAGCTATTAAATCTGAACCATAGCTGGACATCAACAAGGTCAGATTTCTTATATTTAGGTGAGTACACTTCTCAAAGAACTGAGCTAGTTAATTGAAAGATGTTAATTGTCTTTTTTTCATTTCTAGTATCAGGCATCACTATTACATACAACAGAACAAGTACTGTGACAAGGCAAGCATAGAAACTAGTTTTAAGACAGAGGAGGCTGAAGAATTCAGAAACAGCACAAAATGGTTCGTCATTTCAAAGTGATTTTCCCTGGTCTGGGGGTATAGCTCAGTGAAGGACTCTTGCCTAGCTTGTAGCAGGCTGCAGGTTTGTTCCTCTGCATAAAAACAATGATAGCATCAACTTACTATTATTTTGTAAAGAGGGGCCAAGAGGCTGAACAGTGGAAAAATAAGTAGTTGGTTAATATCAGATTAATTTAGCACCCTCTCTCTCTCTCTCTCTCTCTCTCTCTCTCTCTCTCTCTCTCTCTCTCTCTCTCTCTCTCATTCTGATTTGTTTTCTTTTTAAAAAATGATTTATTTAACTTTTTTATATGCATTGGTGTGAAGGTATCAGATCCCTGGAACTGGAGTTACAGACAGTTGGGAGCTGCCATGTGGGTGCTGGGAATTGAACCTGGGTCCTCTGGAAGACCAGCCAGTGCACTTAACTGTTGAGCCATTTCTCCAGCCTTGTCATTTTTTGGGAGATCAGATAAAAGAAGCTAGGTTTTATGTTGGGAAATATTTGCACGGGTGACTCCATGTTGAATTTATTCTTCCTTCCTTCCTTTCTTCCTTCCTTCCTCTTTCCCTTCCTTCCTTTTTTCATCTTTCCTTCCTTCTTTTCTTTCTTTTTTTTTGCAGACCCAATATAGGTTCCTAATCTAAAACTGTGCCCACGCTGTGAAGCTGAGTATCAAATTGTCAAATCTAGGACCACCTGTATACTAGGCAAACACTTAATTGTAGAGCCAGCTCCTTAGCCCTTTTCTCCTGAGGTGTAGGATTTGCTAATTTGTCTAGACTAACCTTGAACTCATATAGCTCAGGCTGCCCTCCAGCTTATGAGACTCTATCTCAACCTCCCAAGTAGCTGGGATTACTAGGCAACTTCTTGCAGTTTTTATTTAACATAGTTATGCACTCTCCAGAGTGGATAAGGATCAAGTCTCAATTAGTGAACGTAATCTTTGCTACTTAGTAAGTGGGTGTAGATGTAGGGCATGTGAACATGGACGGTCTCTTCCTAGGGCTGTGCTTGTGTGCCCTGCTGCTTTAGTGGGTGGTTGCATCCACCTTCTGACGTCACATTCCATCTTCTGCTAACAGAGCAGGCAAGTTTGCCAATTTTCCTCTTTAAGAAAAAAGGAGAAGAAGCAGAAACGACAGTGGACTCCTCAGAGACAGAAAGAGGTTGAGGAGAGCTCCTTCTGTGTTTCCTGTACTGTGTCAGCACGTGGCTTGACCGTCACACTCCACTCACACCGTTGCACACCACCTAGCAGTAAAAAGAATCAACTCTTGATACGTTCGATACGGATGAACCACAGAACACTTGAGCTTAATGGAAGGACCAGACACTTACTCTATGTCTGAATTTGCATAAGGTTATAGAAGATGCAAAGCAGCCCATACAACAGAAAGCAGATCCAGTGGTTGTTTGGAGATGAGGTAGGGGGCAGGTGGATTACCAAAGGTTATGAGAACATTTGGCAGGTAGGGGCAGGAGATGATGGAAAGTTTTTCTCAGATTTAGTGATAGCTTCATTGATGTCTACATATGACACAATAACTAATTGTACACATTAAACATATGTAATTTATCATATCAATGAAACTGTTAAGTGTTGAATACCTCTTCTATGCAAGACCTAGGTGAGCTCAGATTATGCAAGAGTAGTAAGCAAAGATCACAATTCTCTGTCATTAGGGAGCTCACAGTCTTGTAAATTTCCCATAAGACCTGATGGAAGACATTATTTTGTTTCTCATCTTCCTTAGCAGACAGTTTTTGCTATGTTTGGTACCATGGGGTTGGAGAGAGACATGGTACCATGTGGACACAACTTAGGGATCTTTGACCTGTTTCAGAAAGGTGTCCTTGAAGAAGTAATGACTAACTCAGGATCACAGATGGCTCAGTTAGGAGGGGACTGTTGTCTTCCTCTCCTGTGACCTCTGCCAATTAAACCTGATTAAAACAGTAACTAAATACTAGGGGGTCCGGATCTTAACCCTAGAAGATTCTTGCTTGAGAAGCTCTGTGGTCAGTCTTCCTCTCAGTAGGTTGTGAGTACATAGATTTGAGAAGCTGAAGTGAGATCTCGTTTATGTGCCATGTTTGTCCTAGAGGGGAGCAGAGCCTGCCTTCTGGCCTGACCTTGACAGCTTGTGTCTCCTCACTAGGGAGAAGACGAGTCCATCACCCTCAAATCCTGCACGCGGCGGAAGACAGACTCCATTGAGAAGAGATTTTGCTTTGATGTGGAATCAGTAGACAGGTGAGAGGCTGCGACCTCCTTTTCAGGAACTAATTATTTCTACATTTGGGTTTCTTTGCTCTCCCTTCAGTCACAGTGTTTCTACCCCGTACCCCATCTGTGTCTAGTGGGAACCAAATGCTAGGTCATTGCGGAAGGTCAGCTTAGCCTCCCATTGTTTAGCTCAGAACTGAACCACTAGGTTTATTTGCTTTTACTCTAATGCCAGTGCTTCCCTGCACAGGAATGTGTGCTATGTCTCGAGGAGGTAGGGTAGGCATTTAAAGAAAGCAGTCTGCTTAGCCTGATTGTAGCTGGCGCTAGGTGGGTTTCTCCTTAAAAAGATTACTGTGATGACTAAATAAGAATTGGGGTAGAAGAAGTTTTACGCAACTAACTTTTAAGGCTTGTAATTATTTTATGTACATATTCAGAAAAGACAAGGCACTTGCTTAATCAGTCCATAGTAGATAGATGGATAAATGGAAGAAGAAAGATGGAAGGAAGGAAGGGAAGAAAGAAAGAAAGAAGGAAGGAAGGAAGGGAAGAGAGAAAACAAGGCAGGCAGAGGCAGGGAGGGAGGAAGGGAGGAAGATAGATGAACAGATAGATTTCTTCAAGTTTTATAATGTCTCACTCAGCTACATCATCCCACAGTATTAGGCTTATTTAACAGGGTTACAGTCCTTTGAAGCACTTTCCATGGCAGTGAGTTCTTTCAGTTAAATCTGAATGCAGAACTTATCTAAGCTGCCTGTTTCAAGTCAGCAGTGTTAGCACCAGGACCCTTAAGCCTCACTTCAGTACCCAGGCAATGCCAAGACATCTCTTTCTTATTTTTCAAAAAACCACAACATTTCACTAAGGTCTGTAATGCTTTCTGGAGTTCCAGTGTTTTCCATGTCTGCATAAGACTTCTTGGGAAGTTGTAGATAGTTCCTTTGGTTAAAACTTTGGTAACTACCACAGTCTGCGACGCCCGCGCCACACGCAACTCCGAGGTATCAGGAAAAGAAAGACCAGATTTTCAGCTGTTTGTACTAAGAAGTGTTTTTATTTTGCAAGTGCTAAGAGGTCTCTCTCTTGTAGGAGGGAGCAGTCTTATATATAGTCTTACAACACAGTAGAAAAACCCCAGGTGGAAGAGAGCATGTTTTCCTCCTGCTAGATGTTGATGTCAGTGGGGCAATGCGGGGGCTGTAACCCAGGACTAGAAAACAGGATGCACCTGTGGCTATCAGCTGACAACTCAGAGACCCTGTGGGGGCTAGGCCCCAACACATGTTAGCTCTTGATAACACATTCTTGAACTTTCCCACTTCTATCATGTTCATAAAACCTTTGCAAGCAAGGCAATGGGGTGCCCACCTATATATAATTCACCTCTTCAGAAGATGAGGCAGGAGGATCACCTAAGCACAGGAATTCAAGACCAGTCTGAGTCTTTATTAGGACTTTGTCTCAGAAACAGAAAAGGGAAGGAGGGGACTTTGTGGGTTAAAATTGTAAGCCAAGAGTAAATGTTTCATACCTAGCATACTGAGTGGACTTAGGGCGTCCATTTCTCCTCAGAACCTGTCTGGCTCCTTAGTGGCTTGATGCAAATGGTGTTGGGAAGGGTCCAAAATGAGACTGTGGAGTCTCCCCTGAGGAGCAGGGTAGACTGGTGGGAATATGAAACCTTTCCATTCAATGACACCTATGGACCTCATGGATTAGGCTACAATTCAGCATTGCTTTTTTGCTCCTCTTGTTTTATTCAGTGGCTTGTAGATATACACAGAGTGAGATTTGGGTGTATGTGAGGTGGGGTAAAGAAACTGTACACATGGCCATTCTGTTATTAAGAAGATTTTTATTGTAGATGTGTGTGAGAGAGAGGGGATGGGCAGAGGCATCTGGAAGAGTCTAGAACAGAGAGAAAAGGAAGTAGACTGAGAAGGGCCAGCAGACTGGACATGGGCAGGGCTAGGGAAGTGGAGAAAATAGTGGGGATGGTGAGATAGCAAGACATAGTGAGTAGGGCACAGAGAGCAAGAAGATAACAAGAGATAGGGATGGATAGGTAGGTAGGTAGGTAGATAGATAGATAGATAGATAGATAGATAGATAGATAGAGACTTCTGAGAATGGTGGGTTATAAGGAGGGTGAATAAGCTGGGTAGGGGTAGGGACTTAAAATGTGTAACAGGTACTTGTGATACCAGAGGTAGCCATTTGTCCTTTCTGCCAGAGACAAGGGGAAATGATGCCCTTTGGCATATGGGAACCGGTTTCACAAGTTCCTGAGGAGTGTTGGCTTTTATCTAAGAACAGGAGTCCTCCTGTAGTCCAGGTTGAGCTCCTTTCTGGATATCTGGAGAGCCTGAGACCTGACATTATCAGAAGTAGAAGGTATTTCTGTGTACTAAGTGGCAGCTGCCTGTGAGCTCTGCTGTAAATCCTTTCTCTGGAGGATCCCCACCCTGTCGTTTTCACCAGTGCCTATCAGCAGGAAGGGGCTATTGCTAGATCTGATTTTCTAGGCTATGCCTCTCTCAGATTCCTCTGTCCTGTTTGCTGTCCCACAGAGGCAGGGGTCAAAGGGAAAGTTAGCACCCAGGAAGTAGATGCAAACGAGGAAGCAACAGAAGGGCTGAATGTCCCCAGAGTGTGTTATGGGTAGATTAGATAAACTGCTGCATAAAAAGTTATGTAGTAGCTGTTAATGTGGCAATGCATCAAGATCCAAGTGTGACTTATGTTGTTGAGACTATGAAAACATGATGTGAAATACACCAGCTGTGTAATATATGCTGTTAGGGTCTATGCAGGGTAGTTAGGTTAAAATGAGGTTGTTAGGGTAGGCATTGTGTTAGTGGTTAAATTGTCATCTCGACACATTCTGGAATCATCTGACGGAAAGCGTCAATGAGTGATAGTCTAGATTATGTTGATTTAGGAATACATCTGTGGGGTACTGTCTTGTTGATGTTAATTGATGCAGGAAGACCCGCCCAGAAGTGGGTTTGATCCTTGGCTATGTAACAACACAGAAGAGTGAGCTGAGCACAAGCTCACACATGTTCAGCGCTCTCTGCTTCTTCACTCTGGGTGCAATGTGATGAGTTTGTCTGGATCTGCCCCCAAAGATGGAATGTAACCTGGAGCTATGATCTAAAATAGATACCCAAGTCTCCCCTAGGTTGCTTCTGTTCAGGGTATTCTATGTCAGTAACAGGAAAAGAAATGAAGATGGGTCCTGATTCGCCATAGCCAGCATCCTAGTCAACAGGGGCTAGAGATCCAGAAGCAGACACATGTGGAGGGAAATGCCCCATGAATGTGAAGACAGAGAGCAGTGTGGCAGTCAAGTCAAGAAACACCTGGTGGCTAGCAGTCCACCAGAGAGAGGAGGCCTGGAGTGACTCAGTGGACTTCAGAAGGAATTAACTTTGCCTACACCAAGGTCTTTTAAATGGTGGCCCAATATCCATCCCCTGAACCCTACTTCATAAAATAGACCATTTGCATCAATCACCTTCCTTTCTGCTCCTTTCTTTCCTTCCTTGCCTGTCTTAGTTAGGCTTTCTATCGCTGTGAAGAGACATCATGACCACAGCATTTAATTGGGGCTCATTTATAGTCCAGAGGTTTAGTCCATTATGACAGCATGCAGGCAGACATGGTACTGGAGAAGGAGCTGAGAGTCCTACATCTTGACCCACATGCAACAGGAAGTAGTCTGAGTGCCACACTGAACAAAGCTTGAGCGAAGGAGACCTCAAAGCCAACCCACACAGTGACACGCTTCTTCTAACAAGGCCACAAATATTCCCAAAAAGCCACACCTCCTAACAATGCCACTACCTATGAGTTTATGGGAGACAGTTACATTCAAACTACCACATCCTCCTTCTTCTTTTCTCGTCTCCCCTCCTCCTGTCTCTTCTCCCCCTCCTTCATCAAGAACTTCAGTTTTTAGTATCTTAAAAAATGAAAAACTGGCCGGGCGGTGGTGGTGCACGCCTTTAATCCCAGCACTCGGGAGGCAGAGGCAGGAGGATCTCTGTGAATTTGAGGCCAGCCTGGTCTACAGAGCCAGTTCTAGGGCAGCCATGGCTATACAGTTAAAAAAACAAAACAAAACCTAAAGCTACCCATTTTTTGTATCATGCTACAGATCTAGCTTTTGAAAGTTTGTATCTTATATTGGTTAATTGACTGGATTTAACATTTAATTTTTTCTTGCAGTGGGTCAACCCTTTTTGTGAGAGTTCAGTGTAAACTTCTTGGGTTAAAAATGGCCATCATGGAAAAGGAGTCTTTTGTGGTAGTCAGGTGTGGCTCATTAATCCTAACTAGTGTCTGTGTTCAGTCACTTGAATAATTAACTCCATCCTGTGCTATCTTATGGGAATTAGTGGGCAAATTTAGCAAAAATATTTGTTTAAGCTCAAAAATCATGGTGGTAGTCAGTTGCCAGCATCTCTGGATTGGTTTGTTTTAAAGAAATTTTTCACAGATGTAAGTGACACATAGATTATTTTCTCCCTAATGTTGGCCACTAGACCATATGGAAAATAATAGAAATAGAAACAAAAGCCTCTCCTGATTCACTGAATCAGTGTAGTGGTGGGGGAGTCGATGTTTATACTCAAGGAAAGGAAGCAATTAGATTTTTTTCCCTGAAGACTAGCTGACTCCAACAAAAACTCTGTTCTGTGTCCCTTCCCAGCACTGACAAATGCAGAAATGTGGCAATGACAGTTTACTAGAGATGATCGGGGGACTTGGGATCACAGGTGGAGCAGACACAAAGCTGCCGACTCCCTGTCTGCTGTCTTGGCCTCTGGAGAACATAAGATTCCAGGCCTGTGCCGCAGACGTCACGTGTGTGTAGAAAGCTTTAGGAATCGATTGGTTTTTCTTCCATAAAGGGCTCTTCTAATTGTCTTCAGTGCCGTTTAGAAGTGTGTGAGTGCTGCACTAGCAGTGGTGAGTTACCTTTCCTCTAGAACCTTTCTCCGCTCCCATACACC